GTCAACGCTCTCTGGTTTCATTTAAAAGAGTTGATCGTCAGAAATTGTCCAAGATTAACCTTCAGGGTGGACATAGCTCGCTAGCCACCTCACACCAATGACCTAGTTGATGTCATCATTTACCCAGAATGCTTTGCGTGTAAATAAAATGGCTCCGTCTGTGCTAAGATATATACTTTTAAAAATTACAAACTAAACAGCCAACAGTATTTTTACACTTTATTTTACAGTTAAAATAAATGTTTATCAAATAAAGTTTAATGTTACAACTAATCGTGGATCCCTTTAACTCTGGAAGACTAATAAACCTCAGCTGATTTGTCCAGTTGACACATCATAAGCCCAGTCTCATCCAATCAGCATCTGACAGTCAGTGGACAAAAGCGTCCTCTCCCATCGCTCTGTCTGCTCACCAGCCAAACGTCAACCTACCCCTCAACCTCCTCCTCCCTCCAGCTTCCAAGGGCTTCCCCCTCCTACCACCACCACCACCAGTGTCCGAGCCCTGGGGTGGGGGGGAAGAAAATCCTCCTACCCCTCATCCTAAGCAGCTCACGGCACTCACATCCTCTGCTGGGGTCCGAGCACCAAACTTCCTTCAGGTCAACAGACCTCCTAATTTCAGCCTGTCTTTGTGTGCTTCTTTCCAGTTTGACATGAAATTCTCAAAGTATATATTTAATTGGCTCAATCTCTAAACAAGTACCGGTGACTTTTTATCCACCCCCACCCCCCCAAAAAAAAGTTAAACAGCCTTTTAAACTTTTAAAGTTTGCATTTATTTACAAATTTTCACATCATCCCAAACTGTTTGGAGACAGTTAGTTGACAACACATTGCGAACACTTTCATCCAAACTTTTCATCCTGCCTCCTGTAGTTTAAAGTGGCTCACAGGTGATACTAGCAGGGGAAACAGAAACTGTGGAGGCGAATATAATCGCCGTCTCATTTATAAACAGTTTTCCTAAAAGCAACAGCTTTACGCTCCTCTGCAGTTAAAAAGTTGTGTAATTTGTTGATGTCTAACGCTGCAGATAAAGTCTGAGTCCCCCCGTGGCTCGCTGCACACATTTGTCTGACTACGGCAATGAAGCGGCACTAATGTCCCCCTTTTAAGCTCCGCTCTCATTCATCACTGTGTTTGTTTCCTCTTCGTCTTCAGGACCTGGGGAGCACAGACGGTCCCCCGCGGAACTGGAAGGGCATCGGGATCGCCATGGTGGTGATCCTGGCGGTCATGTCCCTGGTTATCCTCTCCGTCTTCCTCCTCACGCCTGGTGAGAATGATGATAATGAGACAGAGAGAACAAAGATTTAACAAATGGCCAGAGGGAAGTCAGCAAATAAAAGCAAAGGAGTTTAGATGTTGGGAGCTAATTTAACAATAAAAGCTTATTTGTTTTAGATGAGTTAGATGAATAGATCAATGCCTCTTTCATGTCTCTATTGTTGATATGATGCTACAATCAGCATCCTTCAAATTAGCTAGCACAGAGAAAAACTCATCAGGAAATGATAACTAAGCAAAAGCTCCACAATTAACAGTTTGTGTTATTTAATCTGTAAGAAAACCACAAAATAAATAAAGTCATTCACCTTTATATGGAGTTAAAATGTCCTTTACTATTTCGCGTCTCTTAGCTGTTGCCAGGGGAGAATCCTGAGAAGTTATCAGCCAAAAAATAAACTCTCTAAAAGATCATAAAGCCCAATAAAACTGTGACTTTTGGTTTTTATACTTCAGTTTCTGCACTGCTCATATAAACACGACACAAGGTGTCGATTGTTGTGCCAAAGAAATCAAAAGATGAAAAGGTTTTTATTTTATTATTATTTCAATTTAAAATCTTTATTCATTTCTTTAAAACAAATCATTTCTATGTGCAAATATAAAAAAGAAAAATAACACAAATACAATGAAATGAAAGGCAGCAGAGAGAAGAAAAACTCATATCTGCTCCTTTTTTTCCACAAGTATAAATTCAAAAAAGCTAATCTTTAATTAACAAAAACAAAACTTTAAAAAGGTTAAATCCTTCTAGAACACAAATTTACAAGAATACATTTTATACTGTTTCTTATTTCTTCAAAAGCCCAACTTTTATCATTCTCTTGAACATGTACATTGATGTAGCATTTTTAGCATCCTCTTCCAGATTATTCCATAATCTGACTCCTTAGATTGAGGTGCACCGTTCTTTCAAACACGTTCTAAATTTAGGTTTYATGAACATCTCTATTCCCTTTAGATTGTAAAACAACAACAGCTCTCTCTTAATAAAGCTTATGATTAAAGGTAATGTCTTTTGGTGAGCCTTATACATAAATCAAAATGTTATGATCAACCAAATAATAGAATTTAAATAATTTCAGTTTACAAAACAATGTATTAGAATTAGATGGATATTAGTAATGTTTTTGAGTGATAATTCTTATAGCTCTTCTTTGCAAAATAAAAACAGGATTTGTAATGGTCTTACATGCTTTACCCCGTACCTCAACACAATAGACCAAGTGTGGAACAATTAATGCATTATATAACAAATACAGTGCTTTATCATTGAACAAGTCCCTTACTTTGTAAAGCAATGCAATAGATGAAGCTATTTTTATTGCCAATTTTTTTTGCCTTCCTTGTTTTCTGTGAGTTTTTCTGTTGTTTTACTTTATAGTAGATATAGGGGAGTGGGATGAATCCATCCATCACTTAGCATCAAGTTATTATCTTCTCTGCTGTTAATGCTCACATTTGGCTCAGAGTGACTGTAAAGATGCAGGAGACGAATTTAAAATATTGCAGAGAACTGGGCCAAGCTTTGCACCCTGGTGAACAAAGAAATTCCTCATGAACAAGTGAAAATCTCTGCTTCCTTTGAAGATGAGTCCCACTTGTTGCTCCACTCCTATGTGACCATGGAGGATCTGGAGAGCGAGGACTTCAAAATTCACGATCCTTGCGTGACTTGGTTAGACGGTGAGCAATCATGTTCTGAATCACTAATCACTGCTGCCTGACAAAGAGTTAGCTGTAACATGGTTTGAGTTTATTAAAATGTAACAGCTGGTGTGCAGATCACGTCTCAGTCTCGGTGGATTCAAATCTTTTTTTGTTTGAACCGTTTTAACCCTGTTAGAGAATGAAGTGGCCCTGCGCACCAGAGAGGGACATGTCCTGACATTCAGCCTCAACAACAACATGACCCTAACTCTGCTGGACAACAGCTCACTGGTAGGACCGTTTCCAGCACCGATAGCACACACACACACACACACACACACACACACACACACACACACACACACACACACACACACACACACACACACA